CCACATTGTGCTTGAGAATTCAGATTTTACAAGATTTTGATGTGTATTTTTCCGACAGAAGAACCAGAATACGAATGCGAAGGAAACTGTGGTGGTACATGTCGTAAACATTGCAAACGCGGTGAACAAGATGCGGAGCCCGTAGATGAGTGTGTTGCAACGTGTCTACCTGGTTATAGATGTTGTGTGGCTGGTAAGATTTCATACTTAACAATCTGAGAACCATTATGTTTTTTTATCTTGACAATCCATTAATATAACATGAACAAGTTCTTATACACTGACACTTTAGCCCGTGAAAACAAACGTTATTTTTTTATTTTCAAATGTAGATGAGGAAGCGTGTAAAAATGATTGTAATGGGCAGTGCCGTAAAAATCACTGCAACAGAGATGAATACGAGACTAATGAACCAAGCTGTGTAAAAGATTGTAATGATAAAAAAGGTCGGATATGCTGTGTTCCATGGTAAGGTTTCACACAACCGTCACCATTTGGATTTTGCTTATATTTAGGTTGTTAATTGCTGTACTTCAACGTACCACACACATCACAATAAAAACATGCAGGAACAAACAATGTCAAGTAACATTGCCCTATTTAAAAAGATAACAAAAATACATTGCACAACTAAATGTATTTTTATGTGATTATACTTTTGAACTCTTCGCCACGTATCAGAACTGTTTCCAAATTAAATATTCATTAACTACCAAATATATTCATATTCTCATATCAACATAAATGTAACTGAATATTTTTTCTTTGCAGATATCACTACCAGGTATCCATAAATAACCAGCGAGATCTATAGTTTGTCTTATGTAAAGAATAAATTTAGAACTTAGATTATGAATAAAGCATATAAAAAGCACGATGTTTGTCGTAAATATATAATAAAAGGCGACTTTTAAGACTCTTCTGGAGTTCAAGGGCGTTAGGCAAATGTGTTGGATCAGTGATACATTCTGCTGTGAAATATTTAAGAAATAATATTCGTATTAAATATACGCACAAACTTTACTTAATTTACTTACCGAATTGACACGTATTGGATACATTCAGAAAGCTGTAAGTTATCAGTAGCGGTGTACATGCGAGTTGTAAGAAAATATTTAACAGTGCTGCCACGCTTGTATTGAGCGCGCTTCCACTGCGCAATTTCGCTAAAGGACTATAAAATAGACAGGGTATGGCACAGCGCAATCCATTTTTAGACAAATCGCGTACCAGACTTCTCGTTCACATAAATCACGATATTCGTAGCTAACGGTCGAGTGCCAAATATCCACATTATCGTTATTTTAGTGTAAAATGGTACGTAATTTGTATGTGATGGTTTTGAAAAAATCTTTATGAATACATAAATAATCCCAATTT